GAGTGTAGACCAAAGTCTCCAGCTCTCCACCTGCAAATGGTGGCGTCTCCATATTGGTGAAAAATACTTGAGAGGGAATTAAACAAGTAAAAGATAAACAAACAAAAATGATTTTCAAAACAAATTGGTTCTTTTTACACGATTTAAGGAAATTGGGTTTTCCGAATAAGAATGTGTCAGTTCCTGAGACTAAAACACATTTTTGCAGGCATCAATTCTATTCACAGCGATTTTCAGGGAGTCAGGAAAATATATGGATTTACTCTTATAGAGTTAAATATCTTCAATTTATTTCATTTTTATTTTATTTTTTATATTTTGTCTTATTTTTAGCTTGTAGTGATGGGTGGTTTGGAACTAATTGTACATACAAATGCAGCAGTAATTGTAAAAATAATCTACCATGTGACAAGGCAAGTGGAAAATGTGAAAGTTGTGCACCTGGGTACATTGGGACATTTTGCAATGATTGTGCGTACCGTATTAAATATCTATCAACCAAGTGAATTTTATAATTAGTTTTACAAAGTTCCTCTGAAAATTGTATTTTATCAAACATTATACAAGCAAATACCTTGCATGTACACTCATTTAGCAGTCACTATACAAACATCTCTATGATTGAATTATCTGGGTTTTTCAGCATGTTCAAAAGGCACTTATGGTCTAAATTGTTCTCAGATCTGTAATATCAAATGCCGAAGTCAAAGCTGCTCTCCTGTAAATGGATTTTGTACTGATGGATGTGAGGACGGATACCAGGGAAACACCTGTACGGAAAGTATGTCAATATCAGTAGATGATGTTGAAATATCACTTGATGAAATAATTACATGTACCTCATGATGTCAACATTAAAAAAAATTATGTTAGATGTTAGACATTTTTTTTTATCAAGAACAACAATATACCACAGATAAAAGAAAGATAAAATAATATTCAGAAAGAAAGAAGGAACTACATATCAGCACAATGGAGATTTAAAAAAAAAAAATTAAATATCTTCATTAATGTTTCCTAAGAGAAATTTTTCTTCAAAGTTAAAGAAGATAATATTATTTCCGTTTAATTGATTTGTACACGCTAAAGATGCATTTTTCTTCTTTATATCGTATCAAAGAGTGCAGCAAAGGATGGTATGGAGGAATCTGCTCCAGACATTGCAACTTTAACTGCCAGAGGGAAGTCTGTCACAATGTACATGGAGAGTGTAGCTATGGATGTAAGCCAGGGTGGATTGGTTCACACTGCAGGCAAAGTATGTACACAAAAAGTGAAAAAAAAATCATCTTAAGGACGGAAGATACACATTTTTTGTAAGACACTAACAGGTTAAGTGAAGAGGATAATTCATAGACTAATGTTTTCTAAGTCTTGGAAAATGAAAAAAAGACTTAGAAGATAGTAGTCAATACTTCAATAAAAATAACAAATATGGACAAATAACACTCAGTAAAGGTATACAGATGAAAACAAATTTTTATAATATGCTAGCTTTGTGATAAAAGTTTTATTTAAACATTAAAAAAATATATACTAATAATCCCATTGCAATATACCATTTGAATTTTATGAGGAAAAACAGTACTATAAAAAAATCAGTGAAATAACATGCCGAATTTTACTATTTTGCTTTACCTCATAAAACCACCAGGCTTAGTTTATTTTTTCTAAAATTATCTTTCACTAATTATCCAATTTTCTAACCTGTGACATGATATTAAATCTCCTCTTGTGTTTGTATCATCTGTTCTGTGTAAGAATTTTTCCAAATCATGTAGGTGATAAATTGGCAAATAAATATTTTATATACTTATAATGTTTCTTTAAGCTTGCAAATTTGGACTTTATGGGGAAAACTGTACAAAAACATGCAGCTCATTTTGCAGAATCAGTCTTCACTGTAACAACACAAATGGAAACTGTATAAATGGCTGCATGGATGGATACATAGAACCAATATGTGAAAGAGGCATGTTCAAATACCTAATATTTAAAATGAAGCATGTTTAATTTAGTTGTTTAACATTGAGTTTTGACGTTTTCAAAAGTATTCTTTATTAACAAAGTAAATAAACGTCATCTCAATGAGCTGACACTAAATTTTTAAGGTTGTAACGGAGGCTGGTATGGCAAAAATTGCTCACTGCGTTGTGCCGAAAACTGCCTCAACCGGGCATGTGATCACAGAGACGGTATGTGTATGTCTGGATGTCAACCAGGTTGGCGGTCTGCCAACTGTTCTGAAGGTAATTTTATTTTATATATAAACAATAGCTGCACATTCCAGTATTTTTTTTGTCATCTCGTATAATTGTATTCAAACAATTGCAGAAGAATTCAAATATTGAATAGAAATATTTCCTGAAATGTCCAGGTTTAAGCGCGCATTATTTTTCAATAAAAATGAGTTGTGTACAATTTTACCAGAAAAGGGAATTAAAACCATCGTATGTTACATTTATTTATTTATCCGATCAAAAACACTATTGTATTTATAGTTTCTACACATTTTTATTCGATCATTTTTTTTTCCTTTGAAGCATGCGGCATGGGATTTTATGGCAACAACTGTTTGAATAGTTGCTTTTACTGCCTCAACAACACTTGCAACCCTTTTAATGGGGTTTGTATCCATGGTTGTGTCGACGGTTATATCGGTCAAAAATGTGAACAACGTATGTTATTCCTATTATACCTTTACTTATTTTACTATATGAGAGTAAATCGATATATTTTGCTGACTTTTTGATATATACATTTTTTTATTCTATTGATAAAATAATAAACCAAAAAGATAAACTCCCAATTTTTGTACATTGAAAATGTTTTTGTTTTAAAATTCTTTTACTCATTTGTTTAATCTGATCATGTTTTAATTTGTAAAGCTTGTGCGCTGGGATGGTACGGCCGAAATTGCTCCACTGCATGTAACCTTAATTGTAGAAACAAGTCATGTGACAACGCTCAAGGTGAATGTACATATGGATGTGAGGCAGGATGGATGGGGTTAAACTGTTCGCAAGGTAATGTTGATAAACAAATATTTTTTTTAAAAAACTTTTATTGTAGGTAGAGGGCACAATAAACGAGAGTGTGTACACTAGATCTAGATGTGGTTGTCAACGTAAATAATAATTTTCCAGAGTACCCCCCCCCCCTTCTAAAAAAAACTCTAAAAAATATTTTATGAAATTTTATTTTCATTTCTTTATTAGACGATAATGAAAGTTTTCAAATTTCTTCGAAATTCCAAAGCTCCAAAATTCCAATCCTTCTCTACAATTTTTATTTAGGAAACTGTTGCATGAAATTTATTCAAGCATTGCCCCCACAAAAGAGTGGGTTTTTTTTTTTGTTTTTTTTTGTTTTTTTTTTGGGGGGGGGGGGGGGGGGGTGAAATTTTATTTCAATTGAAATGTAATTTAAGAATTTTAATTGTGTTAATTGTGTACCCAGAAACTTTAAAGTGAAAAAATTTCACACATGAAAATGATATAGTAATCGGAAAATATCTCTGTAGTCGGAAAATAGCTCTTCAGAGCTAATGTTCTTTGCTGATGTACCCGACTTTAAATTAATGTTATCTTATCTTAACTTTTACATTTCTAAATATATGTATTGAGTTGTAAAGTTTCCATTTTTGCTCCTTTCACAAAATTATGTGGGTTGGCCAAACAATATGCTGTTAAATTAAACAAATTCACTTAAAAGTGAAAGCGATATACATGTGAAATTAAGGGAAGATATTTGAATTTTTTTTTAGAGAATAACGTTTGTTTGTTTATTTATCCTTAAAAATTTAAAATCCATTTCTTTCGTTACGTTTGACTTCTGTATGTATTTTTGGAGGAACACTTAAAATACAGCTTTACAACTTCCGACCCACAACCCACTCATTTTAACGTCATTTTTTTACCCTAACTAGATGGACGTGGTATTAAACTTTAGTATTTTCTGGAGCCATTTTTTGTAACTTTTCATAAAAAAATAATTTACCCTGAAAAAAAGTAATTACATACATGTAAATGTTCTAAATACAACAGTATCTCCAATTAATAAAAATTAATTCTTAAACACAATAACTTTACAGCTTAAATGGGACTAGATTTATATTCAAGATGACACTCTTTTGTTTAATAAATGGGATGATGTTGAAATTTATTCAGACTAAGTTTTACATTTTTTTTTGCTTTTTACATACATTTTATGTATTATCATGTATTTCACAACTTAAGTCAAATAATTTTTCAGAGTGCATGTTTGGACGGTATGGAGAGGATTGTGGAAAAATTTGTGGTAAATGTGCTTTCAATCAGACATGCAACAGGACGAATGGGGCTTGTTTAATTGGTTGTGCAGAACCATTTACCGGAGAGAAATGTGATAAAAATATAGAAGGTGGGTATTTTCTTACCAAGTGTCTTTCATGATTTATTACACCTCTCTCTCTCTCTCTCTCTCTCTCTCTCTCTCTTCATTGTATCTGTTATATTCTCTTTTAAAAAGAAGAATGAACGAGGAGTGATCAAAAAGTTCGCTATCTCTATATTTACAAAAAAATATTTTAGATCAAAATGAAATTTGAGTCATACACATGTTCTATAAATAGCATATGTAATGAAATGTATTGCTCCATGTTTGGGACGTCACAATGTGAAAATGACATTAATATGAAGATCACTTGTGACAAAAACATGGTTGACTCTTTCCTACTCGAGCACCACACGGCTGTAAAAAATCGTATATTTTGAAATTCCTTTGTAGTAATATATAATAATTTGTAAACGGTAAATGACGACGAACGACATGCCAGAAGTTTATTCATTTGTTGGATTGATTGTTTCAGAGAAGGAAGGGCGATGTTTAAAACTGATGTCTGTTTTGTTGCCCAATGTAAGCAAGCTAAGGAATAAATGTGTCATTTGTTAAGCAATTTAATATAAAAGGTCGCCAACCAACAGTAAGAAAAATACACCTGTAGTTGAAAATCTAAACAGTACGTTATATGATCATTAAAACCCTACAACATCGCTTACGTTAGACTTTAAACATAACCGATAAAACAAAAATGGATCATCCATGCTTTATCGTCATAGAATAAATGACGTTCCTTGGTAAGAGGACTCGGGTTATGATGGTAACCATACATGCTCATTCTGAAAAGAAAAATTATCATCCACCCATACTTTTGCAAAGTTTTTGCCATTTCTGACAAATGCACGGTTTTCCTAATAAAATATAACATGCATGTTAAGAAATATGAGAGTCGGGAAAAAAACTTTAAGCTTCTGTGAAAGAACGCTACGGAGCATGTCGAATGACCCCGCCTAGATCACATAATTGGCGCATGGACAAAATAGATGCGCGTTAAAATTGGAAAAGACTACTTTAAGAGGTTTTCAACACTGCAACTCTTTTTCATTTTTTATGAAAATTATTCAATTAGTTTGCAAACGTTTTGATCACACCTCCTATTTAGTCCTTTGATATGTGAATTCATTAAAATTTCAAAATTTTATACCGAGGGTACTGTAAAGGCATTTTATTAGAAGGAACTGTATTTTAATATGATTCTGCGACAAAATAAGTCAGCGAAAATATCGCTCGCTTATATTTGTATACCTTTAAATCATTCATCGGCTTACGGAGTTTATATATCTCAGTTGATTTGATACGCAAAAGCATGTTCTACGTATGAAAAAAAAATCTTAAACAATGTAAATTATTGACAAACAAGTTGATGAAACAAGAATATCAGCAGTCCCTTTTAAAGTTAAGTTTTCATTTCGTATGTTCTATGATCGATACAATGACCTTGTCAGAAAAAAAAACAATTTATCATTGATTCAAATGCTGACTGACGTTTTTCATACTAATTGTTAGTCCATTATTTATACACTAATTTGACGACTGATTTTTCTGTTATTTCCTGATCATGACAAGGAGCACAGGTAGGCTGTGACCGGGTGAAATTTTGTCTCGCTTATAACGATTAATGTCAACATCGAGAAAAATAAGGTGTCGCAAAAGAAAAACGGAAATCTACGGTACAGAAATTGTATACCACTAACCCTAATGAGAGATCGATCTTGGATACATAGTGATGCAGTGTGAAATAAATATTCTTGGGTAACAAAAAGTATTCAATTCAAACAAATGAGCAGAGCTAAACCGGACTTGAAACACCAGACGGGATTGGTTACCATGGAGTAGTAAGTATCTCTTGTTCACCGGTCACACTTGCCGTGTGCTCCTTTTTATGATCCTGAAAGAAAGAAAAATTCAATGTGAAAATAATACAAACTTACAATTTATATGAGAAGGTCACCATATGACGATGCCAAATTGAATTGGATAGCCGATAAGATCATTGTATCAACAATACCAGTTTACAAAATGATGACTTTAAACAAGACTGTTGACATACTTGTGTCATCAATTTGCTTGTCAATACTTTACCCCGTTCTAGAAGGGATGATTTTGAGCACAATTGACAGCAAGGAACCATTGTAAAATGAAGCGTAAGCTGCAACTGCTACCCTCCAAAACAGGCAGTATTAATACAACGCGAAATGTAATATCAACGCAAAATGTTATAGACTGGGATTATTTATTTTCCGTAAAGATCAATGCAAAATGTTATACAGTGAATCCTGTCTATTCCGACATGCACTAGGAGCGATTTTTTTGTCGGAATAAACACTGTGCCCAGTTGAAAAGTGTAAAATAATATTAAAATTAGTAAAATGTGGGGAAAAATTTTTGATCGAAATTTACAGTGTGATGGATACACAGGTGTCGGATTATACAGTTTCCTTTTTCACTGTAAAACGATTTTTTGATTATTACATATAACATATTTGCACTTTGCATCGAGATCGACGTAAAATGTAATAAATAAATGTACCTTTTCCTTGTTACATTTTGGGTTAATTAATTTTTGCATTGAAGGCAATGCTAAATGTAATAAACCTATATGCAATAAAACAAGCAAATTCAAAGAATTGTGGTCCCCCGCTTTCGGTGTCTTTGTAGGTGGGATGTCAAATATGAACACCCTATCATATGTCATTAAGAAATTATCAAAGTTGAATTTCTTTTTCAAATAAGGTCAATCATGAAGGCCAAGGTCAAGGAGTCAGAAATCATAGCATGCTTGGAAATATCTTGTCATAGGTAATGCACATGTCAAATATGAAAGCCCTAATCTTCTCTCAGTCAAAAGTTAAAAGGAAAAAAATGTGTTTGTGAAACATTAATGACCCCGCATGGCAACAAAGCGAAGATTAAACTTTTTTTAAAATGTAAATGAAATATATTGGTACTCGAATTTTAAAAAGTAGGTCAAACTGCAAGGTCAAGGTAAAAGGATCAAAGTTCTTGGTATCCAGTGAAAGGTCTTCTCACAAGGATTACTTATGTGAAGTATGAAAGCCCTATCCCTTACCATTCAAAAGTTATGGCCAAGGTTAAATCTTTTAAAAAGTAGGTCAAACTCCAAGATCAAGGTCAAAAGGTGTAAGTGCTTGATATCAAAATGAAAGGTCTTGTCACAAGGATTAAATATTTGAGGTATGAAAACCCTAGCCCTAACCCTTCACAAAAGTTATGGCCAAGGTTTAATTTTTTAAAAGTGGGCCAAACTCCAAGGTCAAGGTCATAAGGTCAAAGTTCTTGTTATCCCATGAAAGGACTTCTTTCAAGGATTATATATATGAAGTATGAAAGCCCTAGTCCTTATCGTTTTAAAGTTATGGCCAAGGATAATGTTTTTTTATAAGTACAGAAATCTCCAAGGTCAAAAGGTCAAAGTTCTTGATATCCAATGAAAGGTCTTTCCACAAACAATATATATGTGAAATATAAAAGTCCTAGTATCTACCGTTCTAAAGTTATGCCCAAAATTAAAAAAATAAAATTTTTGTGTAAAAGTGAGTCAAACTCCAAGGTCAAGGTCAAAAGGTCAAATTTGGTGGTACCCAAAGAAAGTTCTTGTCACAAGGAATACACATGTGAAATACAAAAGTCATAGGTGCACTCAATTAAAAGTTATGGGCAAGGTTAAAGTTTTTGTGACGGACGGACAGACAGACAGACTGACAGACAGACGAATGATATTGTTAATGTCCCCTCGCTTTAGCGAAAGCGGGAGACAACAAAATATAATTAATCTTTTTGTGTGTGTTAAACACAAAATAAAATTTATTGAAAATATATGACAATGGGAAAAGTCACTTTACAAAATGGTTAGCAACGTTACAGCTTTTATTGGATTTACTAAATCTAAGTGTATCTTTTTTTCACTCTATCATTGTTTCTCGCAATTTTATTGGATACCCTGTACTAAAAAAAACATTCAATTAACTTTGATTGACATGTCCCTTTAGTCCCTTTATAAATCATTCTTATTAT